CTCTTTCGAGAGAGGAATGCAAATGCAGAGAAACAAAATGAGGTATAAGGGTAATTTCGAAAGAAGGTTTTCTTTTGAAATAACCGCATCTAGACAGCGTTTCTTTTTTTGAAATAGGGTATTTCAAAATAGCAGCCAGACGCGATTATGCAAATGAAGCGCAGGAAATTCAAATCCGCGCTTCATTTGCAATTTTATTCCTCTGCATTTGCATTCCTCTTGAAAGAGGAATGCAATGTAGACATACTGGCTACGTCTACGTTGGCCCCTTCTCCGGAAGAGGCATGTTAATTATCAACTTCAGAATAGGAAAATCCTCGGGGGATTTAAGTATCCCCCGCGGGATTTAAATAAACATGGCTGCCGCTTTTTTTCCGGCTTGGGGAAAAGCCGGAAAAAAGCATCTAGACTGGCGCGATCCTCCGGAATAAAGCCCTTTTCCAGAGGATCTCTTATTCCTACTTCAAAGACATGGCAGCTCACCAGGGGGCGAATGTATCACCCCATGAGACTGCTCTTAAAATCTCCAATGATGGAGATTTCATAACCATAAAACTGGCAATTTATTCCAGTGCTTAGCCACCCTGACAAGTTAAGATGTTTTTCCTAATGTCCAACCTAAACCTCCCATGCTACAATTTAAGCCCATTGCTCCTTGTTCTATCCTCAGAGGCCAGGAAAAACAATTTTTCTCCCTCCTCTTTGTAACATTTTAGGTACTTGAAAGCTGCTGTCATGTCCTCTCTCAGTCTTCTCTTTTCCAGACTAAACAAGCCCAGTTCTTTCCATCTTCTCTCATAGGTCATGTTTTCAACTTTTACTCATTTTGTTGTTCTTCTCTGAACCTTCTCCAATTTCTGCCCATCTTTCCTGAAATGTGGTGCCCAGAACTGGACACAATACTCCATCTGAGGCCTAATCAGTGCAGAGTAGAGCAGAAGAATGACTTCTCATGTCTCGCTCACAACACTCCTGCTAATGCAGCCCAGAATCATGTTTGCTTTTTTTGTAACAGTGTCACACTGTTTTTAGCTTATGGTCACTATGAAACTGTAAATCCCTTTCTGCAGGACTCCTTTCTAGACAGTCACTTCCCATTATGTATGTCATGTATGCGTGAAACGGATTGTTCCTTCCTAAGTGGAGTACTTTGCATTTGTCCTTATTAAACTTCATCCTATTTACCTCACATCATTTCTCCAATTTGTGCAGATCATTTTTAATTATGACCGTATGGTCCAATGTTGGCTCACAGAAGAAGATGAAGTTAGAGTTGAGGCAAGTCAGTGGGTGAATTCTGGAGTGGCCTATAGAAAAAGCATTGGTATGTGATGAGCTAGAAATAATTTTACTAATGCACGTAAATTCCTTTGTTCCTTCTTTCTGCTTTGCTTTCTTGTTGGACTTGCTTTGAGATTCAAGTTCATTTTACTGAAGTAAATCAAGAACCAATACAGCTTGGTAATTTTGAGTGTTTTAAAGCTTTCAATGCAGCACATTTGTGTGGAGAGACATAAGGTATAGATGGGCCACAACATTGGCAGCATTAGTAAAGAAGGTCATTGAAGTCTGACAGTGACTATCATGGAAACTTGGAATAATACCATGGCAGAACTTGGATTGTTATTGGCCCACAGAGGAAGTTTTTGGTTTGTGGTGATGATAATCTTGTCAATTAACCAGATTTATTTGCTTTAAAAGAAATAGTTTTTCATATTCAGATAATGGCAGGAAATTATATTCTCTGATCTCAAGCAGAACTATTTTGTACCAAAAAACCCATTATTTAACAGAGGTATTTGAAAATAAAAAATGGGACATTTTAAATTCCATTCCCTGAATAATGGGACATTTATTTTAAATGTTATTTTCAAATATGTGTTTTATGTTGCTTTCAAATATGTGTTTTACATTTATCATCAAGGTGAATTACCAAGAGAAATAGACCAAATATTTTGAGGCTAAGAGCCAACGAAAGATTTCCTGAGATTTCACAAAGCACTTCAAATCTTTATGAAACGATATATATATATATCTTTGGTTTGTTTCACTGCTTCAAAAATCGTAACCTAGCAAAGTTGGGAACACTTTGTGGCTAGTAGTTTTGCTAGTGTCAGTAGACAGATAAATGAAACAAGAATTGCCTGTTTGCTGTGCTGTTACTCTACAGCTAGGAATGCGGGAGTTGGATGGATAGCTTTTCTGCATTTATCTCCTTTACCATAGCCTCTTAATTTTGCTTGAGGTACAGGAAGGTTTTTGTCTTGTACTTCAGTGGAATTTAATTATTGCTATATAAAGCGAGGTGTCCTCTAAAAGATGACAGCCTTAATGCTTCAAAATATATTACTGAAAGGCAACGTGTTGCTGTGGCTAAAACCGTTGTTTCCATTGCTATCTCTGCCATTGACCTTGGATAAATCACTTTACCTCTTCTGAGACTCTATTTCCTTCTCACCAGGTTTTATTTGGATTGTAGGTTCTTCAGAACAGGAATGATCTCTTATGCTGCATTTCTATAGTGTCCAGAACAATGAAACCCCAAGAAAAATTGTCACCTCTAGGCATTACTGTAATACTAATAACAATAGTGTTTATGGGGACTTGTTTTGGCCTAGGGATGTTAAATATCGGTTAATTGAATAGTCAAGTAACCTCAATTAATGATGGATGGCAGAACAAGGAGCAATGGTCTCAAGTTACAGTGGGGAGGTCTAGGTTAGATATTAGGAAAAACTATTTCATTAGGAGGGTGGTGAAGCACTGGAATGGGTTACCTAACGAAGTAGTGGAGTCTCCATCCCTAGAAGTTTTTAAGTCTCGGTTTGACAAAGCCCTGGCTGGTAGATTTAGTTGGGATTGGTCCTGCCTTGGGCAGGGGGCTGGATTTGATGACTTCCTGAGGTCTCTTCATAGGTCTATGACTCTATGAACCTCGTGAATTCTTATCTGTTAGTCAACTATTCTATAGTCCCTGGGAGCGGGGGTGGCAGCCATTGTGCTCCGGCCCCACTCCCGAGGAGTCCCCTGCTACTGTATCAGAGGCAGCAGCGCAGGGTGTCAGGCAGGAACTGGTTCGCGAGCGGAGCCAGTTTTAAAAACCAGCTCCTCTTGCGGACCGGCTGCCTGTCATCCTGTGCTGCTGCTGCCTCTGATAGAGAGGCAGCAGCATAGGGTGGCAGCAGCCCCTGTCCAGGTGGGATCTGAGCTCCTAGACCTAGCGCAAGTCAGGATTAAGCCAGGCTGCCCGCCCTCCTGGCTCCTCTCTCACTTCAAATGCAGAGCCATAGTGGGGGTAGGTCCCAGACCGGCACGAGTCAGAACTCAGCTGGGCTGCTGGCCACCCTGCTAAAAAAAAATTAACTGGCAGGGGGAAAGAGGGAAAGCATGTAGTCTATAACATTAACCTATAAGCTTTTGCTTATCGATTAATCGGTTAACCGTCTATACTATTACATCCCTATTTTGGCCAAGACCATTTTTAAGCCCTGTCCTGGCCATCCTGACTTTTTTTGGCAATAGTGGGCAATTTGTCCTGTTTACTCTTGCCAGCTTAATCAGTTTCCAAGAGCAAATGGGACAAATGCCCAGTTTTGTTTGTTTAAAAAACAAAAAGTTAAGTGGCAATGCCAGCCCCTTGCAGAGGAGGAGACAGGGCTCAGGTAGGGGCCATGCCAGGTTCAAATGACAGGCTCGTGGGGGGGATGGTTTAGGCCGGCAGCCTGGGCCAGCCCCATATGGTGTCCTATTTGCCCTCTGGGAATTATGATCACCCTAAATAGTGCTAGCGCTTGGGCCTGAATATTTTCAGTTCAGGTGCTGCCTTGTATCCTCCCCAATACCTTTTTGGCTTATGGGCCCAACCTGGGTAGAAACTTTCTTCTCCCTTCTTATTTTGCCATAGCACATCTCTTACTAAATCCCATTGCGGCTAATTCTTAAATATCTGCAAAACTCTACATTTTTTTTTTCCGCCTCCACTAATAAAATCTATGTCAACAAGCTGTGCAGATCACTAACTTTTTTCTTTCTGGCCTTCCCGTCTTTCCTCTGTTCCTGCAATGTGCCCAAACTACAGCTGCTAAAAGTCACAGTCTACTCCCACGCATTGCCATTTCCTACCACAGCAAATTCAATTTAACCTTCAGGGTCCTACTTAGATTTGTGCCATTCTGTTCTCATTTATGCCTATCCCTACTTCTGTTCTCTGGATTTGTCCTATTGCATTTGCTTTACTATTCTCTTGGCCTCTCCTGGACCTCGGTCTTATGTCTTTCGTTTTATTTCTCCAGGAATATAAGGTTTCTGGGGCAGAGAATCTGGTTAGTATTTGTAAAGCACCACATAAACTTACAGTGCTATGAAAGTTATAGACCTTTTCCATCTCTTATCTGTCTGATTCAGTGCTGTTGAATACACATGAAAAATACTATACCTGTCCCTATTCAGTCCTTACCTTTACCCTGAAAAATAATGCTGTGTTGATTAGGTGAGAATGTGAAGTTGATAACAAAAGCATGTGCATTGTAATAAAGTAAAGGATTCCAAGATTGCCTTCAATGTGTAGTGTATTTCCTCTTTCTAGTTGGTTTGGTTTGCTATCTCCTACTCTACATGCACATCCAGGCATCTGAGAGGGTCTGAGTGATTCTGTCATCCAATATCTCTTTTGTGCTTGTAAGTTTTTAATTAGCTTGTTTTCCACCTTCCTAAAGAAGGAAGAAAAATCACTTGGAAGGTAGTTGGGCAATGTGTTGCATGGCACATTAACAGAAAACACAGCTGATGACAAGCACCAAAGTCTTCGCTGAGACCAATCTCAAGCTTTCCTCCTTCTTTTCTGTGTCTTTGCAGAGACTGGCAGCGGCCAAGATTATGTGACCTCGGAGAACCAGCTGCTCTATTATCCCAGCATCACCTATGCTATAATTGGCAGCTCAGTTATCTTTGTGCTGGTGGTTGCTTTCCTCGCCTTGGTTTTGCACCACCAACGAAAACGCAACAACCTCATGAGCCTGCCTGTGCATCGGCTGCAGCACCCTGTCCTCCTGTCTCGACTGGTGGTCCTTGATCATCCACACCATTGCAGTGTCACCTACAATGTCAACAATGGAGTTCAGTACATGTCCAATCAAGCCTGCCACCAGCCTGTGGATATGGATTCTCCACCATCCTATTCAGAGGCTGTGTTAGACCAAAGGTATGTATGGGTGCTAAATGGTCCATCCTCACATTTATAGTAGAGATTGCAATATCTACATTCTGTGGGTCACCATGCCTCCCCTGTGTTCTCATCATAGCATTTATGCTCATTGTATTACTTGATAGGATACAAACGTTCCCCATGTTCTAATTCTGTCATTGCTTTGGAACTAGTTTTGGAAGGATTAGACTATATTGGCAATATAGTTTTCAGCACGCGCACTCACAAACTAATGAAAATTATTTCTTTCTTTCAGTAATGATTGACATTTAAAGATAGAAACTTTTTTTAAATGTTGCTTCAGAACTTAAGGTTTGATTTAACCATATTTACTTGATCTGTTTTGACATGATGTTAACCATTTGTTTATCTAATGGCTTATAAAGCTTCAACTCTTTAAATCTCCTTTTCTACTGCCATTGAATTGTCTCAACTTCCATAATTTCCCACAACTGTGAAAATTTAAATAAATAGAAATTGGAAAAATATACTTAAAATATTGATATTATCCATTGCAATTCTTTTAATCAAATTCTGCCAAACCTAATTGTAACTATTGATTGTTCACTTACATGGGAACAAATTTTATCAGCCTCTTCTGTGTACACAAGAAAAAGGGTCCCCTTCCCAACTCCACCTTAACCTATAAAATTAATGGTCTATGGGTCTCTCTGCACCCAGTGTCATGAAGGAGATTTAAGGATTCAAGGGTCATCACCTAAATATAACTACTCTTTTGAGATGATTTCTGGCCTTTGCACAATTAATCAGTAGCGCCTGGTTCTTTGGGATTCTATGGGGATCAATGGAATATGGAAGAACACTATCACTTCAGCAGTGTTACTTTGTGCCTATTTGGGAGCAAAGTATGCATACCCTGAGTTTGTTTCATAGTTCAATATCAGATGCTCAGAGTGTAAATATGCAGGGCCAATGCTGTAGCACTCCTAGTCAAGTCAACAGATATTGCTTGAGTAAAGGCTGTAGGGGAAATCCCAGAGTCAGTTGTTTCCTTAGCCAAAATAAAAACTGAAAGTTGCCTCTCACGAAGCACTAAGTGTAATTACCCAGGTGTATGGTGCCAGTCTGCTTCCAAAGGTATCGGACAAGACTTCTGCACTCCTTTAGAAAGTCAAAAAATATATTTATTTATTTCAAAATATATATTTATTTGTGAACTCCCAAAAGCATGAATCAGAGTATGCAGTTTCTTTCCGACAAGCCTGTGGCCCTTTCTGAATAGTGCATTTTTGCCTGTTTTTTCCATGAATTAATTTGTAGTGACTTATACACACAGCCTCAAATTTTCTCCTCACTTTGTACGTTTGTAAATGAATGTGGTACCTGTAAATGAAAGCCGTAAGGCCTGAAGTCATCTGTTTATGAACGCAATAGAGGTGGCAGTGCAGGCGCTCACACACTGCCTTTCTAATATTCCTCAACACTGACTTTGGGGATGACCGAGTAATTCTGTCTTCATGCTCATTCATGAAGTTGCTGTTGTGATGGTAACTTGTAGAATTAACACCTCTCTACTGTAAATTGGACTCATACCAACTCTCCGAACAGCTGCCCAGATTTTTATCACTACTGATGTGGGCTGCTGATAACCACCAGCAAATCTATTCTAAAATGTATACATCTTGCTTTGTCCTGAAATATCCCTAAACACTCTTTTAGAGTGTAACTGTTATGCAGAAAGTTCTTCATCCCTTATTGAGTTGAAGCCATCTTGGGGTGAACTGTGGCAGCTGTTTAACAGTGCATAGTAAATAACAGGTTAGGACAGGAAGTGATTATCCTTTGAAAAGTGGAACAGCAAAATTTAGGGAAGCATAATGTAACTAGCCACATTGGAACTTGACTGGGACACAAGTTTAACATCCCTGCTGATGGTAGGGCATAGAGCTTGGGCATGGCGAATGAATTTCCACGTTTGCAAATCATTTTGAGACTCTCGAGCATTGCTATAGAATTGTTGTTGCATCACGTTTTTCTTATATTGGGATGGGAACTTGTAACCTGTTAGAATAAAATTCTGGGGCTTGTTATATTTTCCTCTGTGCCATAGTTTTCAGTAACCTTGTTATTCTCTTGTATTTACAGCAGGCCCCCTTGGTTTGATCTTCCTCCACCACCTTACTGCTCAGATTCTGAATCCCCCAGTCATACTGATCTCCCTCCTTATCGATCTCGCACAGGAAGCTTGGTGAGCACAGACACCCCAATGGCAGGAAGCCCCTTGAGCACAGGTAGCAGTCGGACAAGGGGTGTGAGTAACAGTATGGACCATCACAGAATGCTTCATGAGAGAACAGCTGAGCAAAATAACTCTCTGATCAATCCTGTTGCTGAAAGAGAAATGTGATGGGGTATTAAAAAGGGTCTATGGGTTAGTCTGCTGTGGCTTGTTACCATCGAGATGGGCCTGAGGTGTGATGTTCAGAATGGGGTTTGATTTGAACCCAAATCCAAAGTTTCCCAGCTTCCACAGGTGCTCTGCTTTGGTGTTTGGGCTCATCAGAGGCAAAGACCAGAGCCATGAGTTGTAGATCCAGATTCACATCTGAACTGCCCAAAGTTGATAGAGGAGGGGTTAAGACTGGGATTCCTGTTCAGATCTGTTGAAGAGTTTGTGATTTACTGTCTTTCAGGGTGTACTTACTGTATATGTATGTATATATGTGCATGTGTAATATGTATAGGCATTACACACACAAAAACCTGTTACGTTGAACATTAAGGTTACCAAGTCAAGCAATTAAAATATAGGCAATAATAGAATTTAGGTTGCCTAGGAAACCTTAATTTGACCCCCTTTGTGTGTGCATAAAGATACAATCTTAAATTAGATGATCACACTAATTTTTTTCCACAGGATCCTTGCTTTTATATGTGCACAGGATGAATTGTCCTCCATTAGTGAGCAGCTAATCAATATTTTGTTTTAGTCTCATTGTTCAGTATGTGGCCTGAAGCCTTATTTATTGAACGCTACTCAAACCTTGCTGTGAAGACAGATTTGTTAATTTCCCTGTGGTATTTCTGTGGCACTTATCATTATAGTATCTAAGATGCTTCACAAACATTAATGAAGTTGTTTCCCCACAATCTCTGAGGTGAAGTGCTATTATCCCCTTTTTACAGATGGGAAATGAGATACAGTGAGATTTAGATCAAAAGGGTCCATTCATTTTGGACGCCCTATTTGAGACCCCTTGGGCTTGATTTTTAGAGCACTTAACATTCTATAGCACTTTATATGTTCAAACATACCTCTCATTGTCTTTAGTTGCAGCTGTGAGTGATCAGCACTCCTGAAGGTCAGACCCCAGGGTTTCAAGTTGGGCACTCAGAAAATGAGAAGCACTCAGTAAATGGCCACCTGTGACCACTTAGGCTTATGTGACTTGCCCAGTGTCACATAGGAACTTGGTGGCAAAGGTAGGGATGAAATTCCAGTTTTCCAGGTCAACTTTGAACTGCCATAACCATAAGACTGTCCTTTCTCTTCTGCACCCACCTGCCTCATGCACTACAGACCTTCCAGCTTCTGCAGTAAATGAGGCAGAAGTCCTACCAAACAGAATCTTTAGCTCCACCACCCTAATTTATCCCCAGAACAAGTGCATCCTGAGTACTGAATGAGGCTGGGGTCCTGTAGGAAAAAATAGTGTGAAACATGTTGTTTCAGACTGTACCATAATGCATATGCCAAAGAGTCCAAACAAAAGTTGTGAACACAACCTTAACTCTGGCATGCCCTAACTGTTGAGTGCTTGAATAGCAAACTTAATGTTTTAATGTAATTTTTATGTGCAATTTCATGGGGCTTTTTTTAAAGCAAACTGAAGAAACGAATTCCAATATGTGGCATCTTATTAACATCCCTCATGGATCATCAGCAGGGCTGTAACCTTTTAGATTCACTAGACAGACTTCTGCTACTTGAGCTAATGGAGTAACTGATAGCAGTGGTAAGTTGCCATCCTAGTGGGGGATAGGATATATTTTGCCACTGTGTTTCACAGATATGTGCTAACAGCAGAGGGATGAGGAGACTTAGGGACTGTGGGCTTCATTCTAAGCTCTTGTTGGGAGTGTCCTCTAGTAGCTGCAGACTGTTCTGCCAGTCTTTTGTCCCATTGTCTCCAACCTGTCTGTTCTCTCTTTTCTTCACTCTAGCTCCTAATTCTAGTTGCATTCTTGTCACCTCATCCGTGCCAGTCTCCGCACCTCAGGCTTCTCATGCTCGAATAGTCCTAGTCTCCCTCTCCTGCCTGTCAGTCTCCCACACCCCCCTTTCCTGGCTGCTCATCCAGTTTATCTTCACCCTGCCAAGGATAATTTTTTCTACTGGAAAAGAAAAAGGCACATCTCTTACAGGAAGGCCACCTCCTGACAAGTTTCAGATTCCTGCTCCAACACCTGAGGTCACTAAAAGTTCTCAACCCAAGTGACTATAAAGAATTGTTTTAACATGGCAATGCAATATATCCATTTTGGCTGGAAAAAGTCAGCTACGGGCAGGCATCTGGCAAGGACAATTTTAGCCTGAATGGTTAAAGTTTGGAAAAGCTATAAGCAAACTGAAGACAGGGTCTTGTAATGAAAAGTATCAGGCAACCATAATAATAGGCATAGTGCCAGCATTGCCTATAAAATATATTTCCATACACACACATATGGCTTTTTACAGAACATAAAATGTGTATGTGTATGTGTATTTAATGTATTTCACTGGCATACATATCTTTCTGGTATCTTTGGAAACAATACTTAAATTTCATACTAAAAATACTAGTGTCGTGTGGAAAACCATTTATTTTCTACAACATTTGCTATTATTCATAGTTTCCCTGGTTGAAATTTAAGTTTCTGCATAAAAAAGCACTGTGGAATTGCACAAGGCATTAATTCAACCCAGTATTTCTTTCTTCCATTTTATGTTCTCAGTCTTGGAATATTTCCATCTAAAATGTGTGGATCATAAGTGAAATAGTGGTTTAAATGCCATTGTGCAAAGCAGTGTTATAGGTACACAGTCAGTGTGGAAAGGAAGGAAGAAAGCTAAGGTATCCCTGTTGCTGTGACTTTAAATTATGCTATAGACTTATGGTTTTTATTTATATATAATAGAGATGTTAGTGCCCTTTCTCGTATCCAGGAAGAAATCAGCCCTGAGATATAGTTGTGTTCTTTTCTTTATATAGAGCCTGATACACCATTGACTTACCCCAGATTTATGCCAACATACATAGGTATAAAAGAGAAATAATAGAAGTAAAACAAGCCCACAGAAATGAAGGCCTTTTTTTCTTTTTAGATAACTTCTTTCAACTTAAGGCTTTCAGAGCAGAACTCCCAACTGATCCTGGGAAAACATGTATAGTTTATGGTCCCAAATATGCACGTAAATGAGAATTTGTCAGCATTCTATTTGGGTATATATCATAGGCATTGTTTCTGTGCCCATCAGTGTAGTACAGTAAAACTCCATTGGTCCGGCATCCAATGCTCCGGCACTCCTGATGGTCCGGCACCATTGGGAACCGGAAGTGCTCCGGGCAGCCGGACAAGTAGAGCTGTTCTGCGCCTGGCTTCCCCAATTCAGCCGCTGCTGAAACTGACCAGCAGCTGAATCGGGGAAGCCGGGGACAGAGCTGCTGGGGGGGTACCAGGGCGGTCCCGTACATCGCTGGGGGCGGCGGGACCACCCCGGCAGCACCCCAGCTGCTCTGCCCCAGGCACCCCGATTCAGCGCTGGTCAGTTTCAGCAGCAGCTGAATCGGGGACGCCTGGGGCAGAGCCGGACTATCGGAAGGGGGGGGTTATGAGGGGTCTAGGGTGGCATTCCCCCCACCCCACCCCAGACACCTCATAGCCCCCTCTTCCTATAGGCCGGCATATCTGATAATCTGGCACCCCCTGGGTCCTAAAGGTGCCAGTTTATTGGAAGTTTACTGTATGTTGGAGCCAGAAATTTGGATAAATTCTACAAATATAGATGGCTATAAAAGTCAGAAGATTCAGTAGAAAGCACCCTAAAATTAGAACAGCACTGATATCTCTGCTTGTCTGTCCACCTAATTATCATAGTAAGGTCTCTGGGCAGCCCATCTTTCTTGAGGGCAGTCAGGACTGTTGGTTAATTTGTTACCCTGTCAGTATGCAACAGAGATTTGCTGGTGCTCAACTGGGTGTCACTGTGGTCTCTTCACCACCCCAAACAATCTCCTCAGAAGTTCTGCCAGCCTTTACCTCACCTTGCAGGTTAATGTTAGGTGTACCCCAATCCCTGTTGAAGCATGTCTCCCTCTAGTATCTAATCCCTGCCACTGGACACTCAGGATACATCTACACAGCAGTAGTCGTGTCTACACCATCGTGACCTGTAAAGCTGAGGAATGCTGCTTAAATATTAACTATTTGCACAGCACACAAACATAAGGCCAGATTCATATCTAATAGAAGTGCAGGCAATGTAGTTATGCCTTCTCACACAAGACTGAGTGGCCAGTTAAGTGAGCTGTCCTTAATGGTAATTATCATAGCTAATATCCAATTATTAATTACAAAATGGAGGCACAAAACTGAGTTGGCAAAACTAGAGACTGAATTCAGTTCCTGTCTTCAAGAGCTGTTCTGTAACCATGAGACTCCACTGCTTTTCCTTTGAACAACCTTTTATTAAAGTACTACATAATAGAGTGTCCGAATTAACGTGTGCTTCCTATCCTCATTCATATCACTGGCATTTGCAATGTTACTCCACATTTCTATAAATATGCAAAGGTTCATCATGTTTCTACCACATAAGCCTAACAAAGTCTCCAAAGGTACTGGGCGAAATTCAGCCACAGGGCATATGTGGCACTTACATGGAATATATCTCTTCTATAGGCCTTCACCATGTGTGAATGCATTCCCAGACATTGGAAGCATGTGCAAACAGCCATGTCTTGGAAGCACTGTCTCCCATTGCGAGGACACATGTACCAAATTGACATCATATCATTTGTTTCTCTTCCCACTGTATCAGTCATTGATATATATAAGTAAGGTATTCTTTCAGGGTTTGTATATTCATGTAAATTTGAACTTAAGTTGATCCATTTGAACTTCTTTTAAAAAATGCATTCTAGAGGTGTGTTTTTTGTTTCCCTTCCAGCTAAGGGTGAGTTTATCTCTGTATAGGAAAGAAGTGTTTTAAAAATGGGGATTGAGTACTAAAATTGGATTGTAAAAGAGGATTGTCCCTTTCCAATTCAATATTGGCATTTTTTGGTAACAAGACACATTAGACTAACCTGTTTGGTAGCAGTTTGTGCATTGTTGCATATTTGGTTATTTATCAAATTCTTGAAGGATTCAGGTCTGAAATGCATCTCTTCTCCGTCTTGGTGGTTCTTTATTTGTGGAAATGTAGTGTTACTTGCTACAGTAGGGGAACTTATTTTCTTATGGGAATCGATCAACTTCAAGGGGTCCTGAAACCTCATCCTAGGAAACAACACTAAAAAGAGAAGAAAGAAATTTTGCTGTTACACATTTTCGTAGTGCTAAGAATGAGTTTGCCAACCATCCCTTATTTAGAAACATGCTGTTGTATTTCACAGGAATTATCTATAATGTGACACTTTCCAGAGGTGTTACTACAGTGCATAATTCACTTATCTTTTTAGAAGGAGAGGTCACAACTGTTGCATTGATTAAAATTAAGTATTTCAGTGGAAATCCAAAGATCCTTGACCTGTTCAACATGTACAGCTGAAGTAGAAAACAGTTACCCCATACCTTGTAAAAAAGACTCTTCTCACCGAGCCCAGTAAAACTGGACAGTCTACTTTGCAGCTATTCTTGACTCTAAATCTTGGTATTCATGCTTGAGGAGCTTTCAGTTACATGTTGTGTCAGAACAAATTAACTCCTCTTTAAGGCCTGATCTTGCATGACTGAAAACTAAGGGGGTTTTGCTGTTGGGACCAAATCTGATCATCTTATTTGCACGAAGTAGCTCCACTGATACTGTGGTACTAATCTCAGTGGCTCTCCTCAGAGCAATTAAGAGTATTAAAATATCATTTATTTCAGTGGAACTACTTGAGTAGAGGATCAGAATGGGCCCCAGGGAAAGCAGGGTTTGGGCTTGGAGAAGCATGTATTTCAGAAGTTCTAGCATCAACAAACCCCATTGATGTCAATGGGTGTTGCAGATCCAGCACCTTTGAAATTTAGCCCATGAGCGTATAAGTTTCTAACAATCTGAAGTAAGGTATAAAACAAGTTACAATTAACCTCTGATGGAAAACTACAGTAGTGTTTCTGAAAAGGTGCCTGTGAATAACTTTCTCCGTTCTTATCTGTGTGTGAACACGCACACACATTGATTGCATTGGGATTCTAAACTGTCTTAGTTCTTTGTCTCCTTTGTCAGATCAGTTTTATTTACAACATTTTAATAGAACTCTTGTGATGGATGTAAAAGTTGGATGGGAGAAAGAAGAGAAGATTCCAATTTTAATTAATACTGCAGCATGATTATCTTGTGTTCTTTACTTTTAGACATCTTAGAAAAGGCAAATGACTTCAGAAGATAAGACAAAAACTATTAATGATGAAAAGGATAGGGTCATTTTAATTCTGAATACAATTTTTAATGAATATTTAAATATAAATAAAGGAGAAGTTAATGTTGTAGTTTTAAAGTGGTGATCAAATGGCAAACACTAATTCTTAACTAATGCCAGACAGAAGCTGTACTTCATGTACTCCCCATAAATAAATTAGGAATCCTATCCTTTTTTAATGTTTTTGTGAAAGAGAATCTTGCTGCATATTTTATTATTGTAAATTCTTTCTGAAAGTAATGCTAGCCCCAGATTATGCAATCAGATCTGTGACTTTTTTTCAATGAAGTTTTGCAGAGGTGTGAGGGATCTCCTTGCAAACTTCTGATTGCAGGGTTGTGGCCTTAGTTTCCATCTGGTTTTTGATCTTGCTTTTCCCTCAGTAATCAAAATTTTATATAAGAACCTACCAAAAAGTTTCAAATTGAAACTATGTCTAGTTTGTTATGATCAACTGGAAATTTTAGAATGTATTCTGTGTTCTTGAATAAAGTTGAAGTTTCACTTGTCAACTGTGTAAAAACTCTCACCACCTTGTTCCCCATAGTGTGAAGTCTGTGTCATTCTTGGATGTATTCCGTCAGATGTAACCTACTTTTTCGGTCTCATTTCATGTTCTCTTATGTTATTGTTAAATGTTGTTAATTCTGTTAAACATGTTTGTTAAATTGTTGACCTTTCTAAACTTTTTTGTATAAAAAGTAATATAGGTTTTTTAATATATATATATATATATAAATGAACCTTGTTTTGATTATTTTTGTCTTCCTCCATTGCCTTTTTGGTCTGTGCTTCATTTTACAACAGGCCATCTGAGGCGAGTCCTAATGTAGCTATTGTTGGTGATTGTTTGCTTGTATTGTTGTAAAACCACAGATGGCTCAATCAAGATCTGCATCCCCATTTTACTGAGTTTTAATATATATATATATATATAAATGAACCTTGTTTTGATTATTTTTGTCTTCCTCCATTGCCTTTTTGGTCTGTGCTTCATTTTACAACAGGCCATCTGAGGCGAGTCCTAATGTAGCTATTGTTGGTGATTGTTTGCTTGTATTGTTGTAAAACCACAGATGGCTCAATCAAGATCTGCATCCCCATTTTACTGAGTG